TCGCTCCAGTGGAAACACAACGGGAAAAGACCAGTTGCGCTTCTGAAGGTGACATGGAGAAGATTGAGTGCAGAGGAAATAGGAACTCATGGACAATCGCAGAGTCAACTATAAAAAACTGCAGAGAACAGAATGAGATGGAGATGTGCTGCATAAGCTCTGTATTCCACTCGGAACCAAAAAGGGACAAAAAAGTATACATAAGAGAAGCGGGTTTGATCTCAACACACTGATATCTTTCAGTAAACACCACTTCTAGTTTAGTATCAAATTTCGAAAGGTGTTTGGAACATCAGTCTTATCAGTCATATTGATTGCATGCTATGTTGTGGATCACGATAGTTGTTTACACATCTACGCTTATTATACTGCAGGAGTTTAGTTGTTTTCATGTTTTCATCTTTTAGTTACACAACTGGAAAAAGTGATACATGTGACTTGAGAAGTAAATTGTTTTTATACAAGGTGCAACAGTTACAACTCTCTTAATTGCACGTTTTCACAACAAACATAGAAGAAAAGAGGGGCGGGAGAGCGAGAGAGAAATACAACAAAAGATGACAACGGCAAATCTATAAGAAGAAGATGAATGTGAAAAGAAAGAAGAAAATAGGCGTCTAGACGACGTAACTAGTTAACGTGATCTAACAGAAAACATAATAATCACGTCTACAGACAACAAATAACAATGACGTATGATAAATAAAAATTGTTGTAAAATTGTCTTTCTTACATTCATACTTATTCAAGGTAACCAACCGATTAGCTAATCAGATGTTTTTTTAAATAAAAATTTTGTTTAGCTTTTGCTTCTTTTTTGTTTTTACTACGAAATATGTTTTCTTTCTCGGATGACATTAAACGATGAAATTTTAATTTATGCATTATTTATTATTGCCGTTGCTATTGTTACACAATAAAACAATTTTCAGAGGAGAGAGTCACATGCTTAGCTTTATAGAAATTCATCTCTCATACATGTAGAATTAGCGGCTTTAGTCAAAATGCTAAACTGGTTTAGCAAAATCAATTTTGAATAGTTGTTTCTTTGATTAGAACAAACCAACTGAGTTGTTGCTGGTGTTGTTGTTATTGCTGTATACCACTCACGTCAACCAGCAGTGCTTGCTGGCAAGAACGGAGTAATCGAAACACCAGATGGTTAATATGAGTGGTGGTATGCGACTACGCATCTTAATCAATTAGAAGTATATGGGTTTTACGCATTTATGCCTGCCTTCTTGATTACCATTTTTTGTATGAAGCAGACTGCATATAATAATCTGAATAATTTTGATTTCCAAATCCAACCGGTATTGTTGTTTAAATAAGGGTGCCGACGACCTTGAGCCAACCAACCACAGTGTATCAGTGAAAAAAGTATATTCATGAGAAAAATGTATGAAGTAGTGTAGGAATATTAAACAGAACACCTTTCTTTGATGTGAGAATAACTCCAAGTTTTTCGTAGATATGTCGGTGTTCATTCACATAAGTATCGTTAAGGGTCAAGCATTAGAGTTAGGGTGGAACATAGTGGACTTAATGTTAGGTTCAAGAAGTAGTTTAAGCACTATCCAGATCAAATATCTTCCTTAAATTCTAAATGGAGTTTATTATTAATGCTTAACTCGATTCCTCTTTACTCACCCAAATTTGCAATCTTAACGCCAGCCACGCAGGTGGTACGGGGTTCAATTCCCAGCCGACACACTCCATCAATCTCACCTAGCCGGTTTTAAGCCCGGTAAGGAGGGGATGTCGGGCATGAGGCTATCAACCCCATCCCGTAAAAAGACATACCGCCACTACTAAAACTTGAAAAGGCTTAAGTTTGAATCTTTATGTTCCATATTAAATGAACAGTTGGTAAATCACGACTCTCTGTGTGGGGTCCGAAGGATAGTTCGAATCGGTGGCTCAGTATGATACCAGATATCGCAATCAGTGGCCAACATGCTGAAGTTTTTTTCAATCTTCCCTTCCTGAAAGTAACATGAGGTAATGTATGATGATTGATTTTGACAAGTATGATTACTTGCCTCCTGTATGACCACCCTCATCTATTATATCCCTACTTTCCATATGGATATCGTTGTCTCCTTATTTTTGTGTGGCGCATCTTTTGCTGTCCATAATGTACCAAGTCTGTGTTTTTAATAATAATAATAGAATCTTGAAGGTACGATGAGCTAACTCAAAGCTCCCAATATGCTTTACTGATGAATACCAAAAGGTGCAAAACACAAATCAAGAGCTTCTTATTGAACGTTTTCTAGTTAGATATTTTGCTTCTAGTAGTCCTAAGACAATAATCTAAATCTTTTCATTTAATTAATTGAAATAAAACCCTACGAACAAAGCAAGAAATAGATGTTAATGAATCCCACTTGCTTTGTGATAATAAATGTGTGATTCACTACTTGGTAAGAGGTTATCTTGGTTAAGTACAGTAGTGGACTATTGGTCTAAGTAGTCAACTCCCAACCAGTGGCTCACGAGTTCATACTCTTCTTCACCTACCAAGATTTGGGGAAACAGGCAGAACCACTAACGGCCACACAATAGGTGTGGCTCATTGTCAACTGCATGACTGTTAGGTAACATTCCTTGCTTCCTGTCTTGGTACAGCTGTCAAGATACAAAACCTGGGCTCAAATTAGCTCCGGCTATCAAGTATGTCTATGGTTCAATGATAGCATGCCCACCAACCCCGCAAATAATCCAGGCTCGATTCCTAAACGTTGGCTAGCCAGTAATAAGCATGGCAAAGAGGGAAGAGTTGGAGGTGAGGCTAGCAACCCCATCTCGTGAAGTAAATTCACCAGTACTGAAACTTTAAAAGCCTGTTTTACTCAGAACGCAAAGGAACAGGGAAAAACGTCAAGATAATGCCAGTTAAACAGAATCATCAACTCTCAAAGAAAACAGATATGACACTTTTTTATTCCCTCACTTTCCTAGTGGGACATGGGGCTTCAAGATAGAGGCTTGAAGTTTCTGTAGCAGTGGTGTTCATTTTTATGGGATGGCGTTGCAGGCCTCATGCCCAACCTTCCCTCTTTACTAGTCTTATTACTGGCTTAGCGATGTAAAGGAGTGCGTCAGTGGCCGGGGATCGAACCCCGGACTACCTGTGTGGTCGGCGAGCACTCTATCACTGTGCCACCAACGCACAGATATGACTTAATCATAATAAATTAAATGACTATGAATGTAAATAATGAACCACACCAATTGTTGGATACGAAAAATGAATCGTTCACAATACAAAGAAATGTGGAAACTGTAAAGATGAAAACAATATATTCAGCATCTTCATATAAATAAATAAATAAAAGCACTAAAAATCCTCGATATGTAATCACAAAATTGCATTATTTTATTGCATTACTTCTAATCAATGTCCTTTTTATTTCTGTTCACGCATCTTTGCACTTTGTAGTTGTATTACAATCAAAATAAGGGAAGATATAATTCCTTCCATAGTTTAAGTTATTTTTATCACCAAAGCATTAGAATATCATTTAACTCAGTGCACTTTTCCTGTCAAGGAGCACAAAAATAAAAGGGGAACCGAATAACCATGTACAACTCTGTGAACTAAATAGTGAGTGATGCCTAGTTGTGTGTGTGTGCGAGAGAGAAAGAGAGAAAGATAATGACACCACCTAGCAGCTGTAATCTTGGTAAGTTTAGAAAGAATTTGAAAATGGAAACACACAATAGTTGAAAGACAATCACCTAAAGCAATTCAGTTAACGTCTATACTGGTGACAGCTGAACTAGTACGTTAACATCTTCTTTATGTTTTAGAAACACAAACTTAGTACAATATGGGCGCCAAGAGGTGTGCCACGCAAAACTAATACAACAACAATATATGAGGAAGATTGCAGATATAATAAACGAAGGATGTCATCCAGAGAGTAAGCGAATATACTTGTCAAGATCATGTAACATTCATCGCTTCATGTTACTTTCGGTAAGGGAAGAGAGAAGGAGATTGCAGCAGGTTCACCACTGACTTAGACTCTCGGCCATACATGGGCCACCGATTCAAACTGTCTCTTGGACCTCAAACAGGCGTGATTTACCAGCCGCTGCTAACCTAAGACATATATCTTTCATCCCACGACACCACATCACAGACTGACTACCTCTCCTCTTTTTCCATCCATTCGCAGGGATACGAACAATGAGAGGTGTGGGAGACTCTTGGATGACATTTGTAGCATATGTGCAAGCCATGTTAGCCGGTGTTTCAAGATGATCAAACTCAAGGGATGGTGACTTCCTACCTGTCCAAGTACATACCTCCGAACCTCAGAATTACTCACATGATGAAGCCATTGGACGCAAACGACCCCATGGAGGCAGCGATGATCGAATGCGCAGAGTGACCGTACATCATCAGCTTAGACAAGCCTAGTTTCGCAGGCGTAGGGCAAGAGTTAGCATACTGAAGTATTGTAAATCTGTCTTTTGACAACCAGACTGATGTCGTGACGATGATGTAGGTAGCCCAAACTGACGTATGCAACTTTATCTTTAACTATACGATTCGTGATTTCGTCTGTGACGCCTTTACCATCACTTACACAACTGCTTAGATACATGAACTTGCTAACAACTTGAAGCAGTTCATCTGCAAGCGTGGGTGAAATTAAGGACTCCTACTGATCTTACAACAATACTTTGCATTTACTTAGCAGAAGGTACATTTAATGTATATGGAACGATACTTAACAGAACATCCAAAGCTTTAGCCCTACATGATTAACGAAAGAATATCATAAGCGTTTGGAATGTGATATAATTTAAATACAGGTGCGCAATTGAACATTTCATCTAAATGATACCTCAGTTTTCCGAAAAGAATGAGGTCAGGAGAACACTTTTGTTAAAATAACTACTCTGTACTCCAAATACCTTCAGACAATTAAGAGTAAAATCAGGTAAAAAAAATTAGAAAGAAAAATAGCCAATTTCCCATTTACCTGATTAAATAGCTCTGGATACATTGATAATGAAGCCAACGCAGCAATAACCCAACAATTACCTATAAAAGAAAATAACTCCAAAAAGTGAACAGCTTCTGAAGGCGATACTTTTACGAGGATACAGTAACCAAGTACATAAATAAAAAGAAAGTTTTGATTCAACGATAACCTGCATTTTCATGCCACTGGAGATGAACGACGTCTGTTTTGTAATGATTAGAGATGCTACCATGTTGCTTGAATCTGGATAAGTGAAGCAGGGTCTCGACCCGTTACCCGATGATTGGAGATCATCTGTCTTTTTAATTGAATTTTAGATTTTCCCGTTGATTGATTGGACCGAAGTGTTCGGTCTCAGATTGACATGTCGGCTTCTTGTGCAAATGCTTCAACGATGTCTGGGCATTTAATTAGAAGTTAATTGGTGAATGATGACTAGCAGTGGAATCCAGGATGCGCATTTCGACTCGTCAGCTGGATGTACCTGCAGGTACGTCGTCCTCGTTAGGATGCGCATCCTGGATTCCACTGCTAGTCACCATCCACCAGTTATAACCATCTGTCTGTCTAATATGATTTTGTTCATAGCACTCTCATTATTCTGTGTCATTTGTTTGATTTTACAGTTAGTGGTTATTCAGTAGCCGTTAGCCTACGACCCACTCCGTAGGAAAGAATTTGTTGTGAGTTTTCGGATGTTTATATGAAACAATCATGAACACTAAGATCGCACAATTTTATAGTGAGGATAACTTATTATCCACTGTACTGAATGAATGTGTTACTGTAATATAAATAAACAGAAGTCGAAAATTTTGAGGTATTGCATTACAATTCAAAAATTTTCGGCTGATATATTCGCTTCAAAATACATATTGGTCTCTATTTTCCACACGGATATACACACATGTCACGAAATATATAAAATCGCAAATGAGAATGGTGACTAGATTGATTGATAGGCAATAATTAAACTTAGAACAAACAAAACAGTTTTTACCTGAATAGGGTGCAGACATCGGTCCACCATCTTTAACTGAGGCTACAAAGGCTGCCTCTGGTTCGAAACCAGTGGGACCCGATGGAATGACTCAAAAGGTATTTAAAGACGGTGAAGACGAACTGTCGTCTCGGTTAACTAAGATACTAGGTAATATCTAGGAACTGGATATAGTGAAGGTGAATCGATCGAGATGACTAGGATACGTGTTACTCATACCAAGCCATCCCCTTCCCCGATGGGTAACCGCAGCTGGCATAAGATTAGGTTGGAAAAGAGTTAAGGGTGATCAACTTAAAACCTGGCAATAGTCCATGAAGTCTTTACAGTTTGGAGTCCTCACGATGCTAAGAGCCAATGACTAGCGACAATTAGTGATGCATCTCAAACTCGTTCTCAGTGGTGCAGGTGCATTCACTCTCTGTGATCTCTTGAATTCACTAAATCGTTATGTTTTCGCGTGTTACTATTCTTTCCGTTTATTATATTTCTTTTGAATCTCTTTCTTCTCTTTTGTCTACATTTGTGTGCTAAATGAAGTGTGTTAACGTGAACTTCTGAAATTCTGTGCAAATTTCTATGTTTAAACTCAATTAGTAAGCCAATTAGAAAAACAGTTTAAAAGAATTCCATTCATTATTACGAATAACTACAATAAACTGACAACTGATTGTTATTGTCTGTTTTATTTCACATTATAAGATCTCTTAATTCTAAAAAGGAAAAACTAGTGGTTTTACATAGAAGAGAAGTAGAATCCAGGACATGCGTTTCGTCCCCAATCGGGACTCATCATCTAAATGTGATTGTATCCCAATGACTGAAAGTATTTTCAATTAACCTTGAGCCAGGCACCTAACGTTCCAAACAATAAAGCGCTACCCATGAGTGCCAACTCTTGTACAAAAAATATATCTTGGAACTTATGAACTTCCCGTCAAGAAGAAGGGTCATTGGCTAAGTGAACTACTGAAAACTTATAAGCATTAGATAGCTATTCTGTTCCAGTTAAAAATTCAGCAGCAATACACATACACAATTTTGTGAGAAATATAGATCAGTGTTGTTTACAGATACAGGTATTTACTTAGTGTGTTACCTTTATACTGTATTGTATGAATAATAATATTATTCATGTTAGCACTTTAGGCTATGAGCCACAGTTGACTTGTGAGGCGTTACGATACCACTAAATTTCTCAGGTTGATTCGCTGTGAGGCTGGTTTTGGACTGAGAAAACAGTGGTCGGAAGTTCTGTTACATACACACACACACACCGCAAACATTGGAGAAGGTATTACCGATTTTATGATAAATACGCAATACTTACCAAGTTCACCCTGTTTAATATCGAATCGACTGACTCCATCAGCAACGAAACGTGGTTGTCGAGTAAGTTCCTAAAAGGTGAATATTTGGTTTATACAGTGAATTGCCAGTTTTAATACAATTCACAAATGTAATGAGTAAACAGAAATTAAGCATTACACATTTTAGTCGATAGTAACTGAAACTATTAAGTGCATTCTGGCCCACTTTAAATTTAGCAAATGGATCCCTCTTGCATCCCAATGTGTACATATCGGTCGGTGTACATATCCCCTATTGACACTAAAAAAATGTAGCGCTGACAGGTCCAAATGTCACCGTATTATTCCTTAGGCTAAATTGTCACAACAGCTACGATTTTTCAATAGCTTTTTCGTGTTACCAATTTATACAACTGAAGTTATCAGTCTATGTCAGGACACATGCTTCTTGTTCATACCATGGTGAGGGTCCGAGAGCGGGGTTATGTTACCGGAAGCATTGGGTATGGCAGCAGTGGGCTACTTTTTTTGGGGAAGATCGCCAGAGTAAATATGATTGCCTCTTGTTTTCAGAAATAGATATAAAAGATCGACCTCCACACTCCTGCTTCCTATAATACCCTATGCAGATGGTTAAGGTTTATCACAGACGAAAGTCCAGAAATCCTATTACTTCTAACAGGCAGAATGTTTAACCTCAATCAGTTGGTTACTACACCCCAGGGTGACATAACCCGCCTTCTTTTTCAAGTATTTCAAGAAGTATTCAACTTCCACAGTATGTAGCCAAGAAGTACGATTCGACTGCACGAAACATAAGAACACAAAGCCCACCTTTTCCCTTCCTCAAACTTTACAGCCACACCCCAGTAACAGTGCTATTCTTTGTATGATTCCTTTACGTTATGTTATCTGTGTCATTACTGCTAATAACTTAAGCGAGTGGAACACCATTGGGAGTCCCTTGAAACCACGCTTCCAACTTTTCGTTGATGTTTTTAACGTCCAAACTCTACATCAAATGGAAAAACAGCCCTCACTAGCCACACTTCAAAGAAGGACACACAAAAGTAGAGGAAATTAATGCAATGAAACTACAATGGACGAAGATGTGAGAGAGCGGGAATACATAAGTGAGGATTAGTGAAGCCTTTTAAATTATAGAAGATAACAAGACATGAATGCATCTGGAACATGTCAAAGAAATTACCCAGATTTGGATTTATAGCCACTCGAAGACTCCAACCAAACAGTCTGCACCCCTCTATATGGATCAGACAAATAGTCAGTTGATTCATTGATTGGCGTCTTGTTATGTTTTGACCACCTCTGAGCATCTCCCAACCTAATTATACTACAGCTAACATCGATTGTCAAAGAATTCAGTGGCTTAGCATCCAAAGATGGGTTTTATGGGAAACTGTCAAGTATGAGACAAAAAAGCCATATGTTCAGATATTTTCATACTGCTAGACGAGTTTAGTGCTGATATAGGCCAAATTGGCAAGTCAACAGAGTATATTCGCGGTATCTGCGGAGAACTATTATGATGAACACAACGAGTGTTAGTCTGAGGTAGGTAAGAAGGTGCATGCTCCTATGCTAGTTCCCTTGAGATGTTAAGAATCAATAAGTGCAGACTCCTAATGGTATGTTTCAAAATATTTTGCGTCACAGTAAGTGAATTTACTCTTGAAAATACCTTCACCAATCTACATTTAATAATTCTTCCGCACAATTGAATCTACGTCGGTGGTTTAGAGGTAGAATGCTGGCCAAGCACGCATGTGGTCGTGGTTTTTTTACCAGCTAAAGTACTCCTAAACCTCGCCTAGTTTACTAGCTAGTAGGAAACCCCAAAAAGATGGGGGGTCAGGTGTGAAGCTAGTAACCCCACCTCCATTCATTTTTAAATGCTGTTTGTGAGGTAAGGCGGGCATTAGGAACGAAAATGTTTTCTCAATATTAAATATCAAATAACTTCACAAGTTTGCAACTTACATGAGGTCTAAGCCACCTAAAACCAGATCTTGAACTTGATTTGATGCTTGAGTCGTTAGCAGGCATAAAAGGATCTTCAAATAAACCACCTCGTTCCATTTGATACTGAATTTCTTTCCTAAACCATTCTCTACTGCTTTCCAAAGAAGCTGATTTATGCATACGTTGTACCATAACACTGGATCCATCATATTGGCCACGCATAGCCTTACGAGGTGTTTCATAAGCATATTTTCGACCCATTGTCGGAATGAATGTGTTCAGACACTATTAAAAGAAACAAAATGTAATAATAATAGAAGAAGAAGAAAGGGTCCTGCAGCAGTTAAAAGAAAGGAATCTTGTTTAACTGAAAGAAACTGGTAGTAATTCATCCCTTTATGAATTTGAATAGAGCAAGAACAACACTTTGTGCAGAATAATATGGCACCATCATTTATTTCGTTGGCTTCGCATCAGTTGCTTGCTTACAGTCGAAGGAAATTATTAAGTTTATTTACAGAACAATTTTAACATACTTGCAAATTTTATATGATGTCAGTTGACAGGGGGTTTCAAACTTAGTGAACAGTGCTCAGAAAATTACACCTAAATAGTTTTTACACAGATAGTTCGTATGCATATGTAGGCATACAGTGGTGAAGGAGTTGCGTAATAGGAAAGAGAGGTGCGTAAGATGATGAATAACTAATAAATTGGGTAATAGTGTATGATTTTCTATGATTTGAGTTGAACTCAGTATATTTTTATGCTTGAGATCCATTACTTATAAAAGCTGCCAAACATGCATTTGAAGTAAATATATGATGTAGCTAAATGAAGAATAATAAGTATGAGAACTACTGACGAATACAATTTAAACTAAAAAATGCACTTGGAATTTACACACAAATTAAAGAATTTTAGATGAATACAATATGACCGTTTCGCCTAGTTTAGTTTTTTATATTCAACATAAATTCTAAGACAGATAAATTTTTTTAGTTCATGAAAGCATCCAGTGCGAGCTACCAGCAAGTCATCGTTTTAAGGCCTGTAAGACATAACTTAAGCCGGAGAAACAAAATCATGTAATTTGAAAATTCCCATTCAGTCATAGAAAAGAAAAGGCGTTCAGCAGAGAGTTACTCTTTTCGGCGATATCATTCTCAAGCTGTACAAACCGCAAATTTATAGTAATTTTTCTTGGCATCAAAAGGAATATTTCCAAAGATGTGTTAATGCAATTGTTAATTTTTGACAATAAACTACGTAATTTAGAAGGCGTTAATCGGTTAGAAACTAAAATAAAGTTACAAAAGTAGGTTGGGTGACGTAATCTAATTGATAGGGTTCAATGAAAAATGAATGAGAGTCAAGTTAATAATCTGAGTAGAATTCATTTGAAAATCATGTAATTATGTTACATAATCACCGGTTATAGGATTTTATAAACTGTGTTAGGTTAGCTTATTGAAATGAATGACTTTTCAAACCGAGTTTGCAATCAATGTCTTGAGAAAGCTGGGAATTTCGAAGACAATATTCATTGGGAAACAGAAGCCTCAAAGGGGAGTTTGACTTTTATTAGATTAATACATTATGACACTGGTACAAATGTACCACTGTAGCTCACCAGATTAAGAAATCAAATTACAACTAGTGAAGCACAGATACAAATCTAGCTTCATCTGTTGAGGTTTGCACAGCCGGATATAACACTATGGTTTATTACCAGGTCTCAATATGGGCCATGTGTGACCAGCCCTAAACAACTGTTTGCTGGACTTTGCAGTCATGCAACACTAATGCCCTTTATAATTCAGGTATTTGAGGAAGAAATCAACTTCGACGGTGTATGTAGTCGGAAAGTAATAAGTGCTCACATGTTTCTATTACTACGTGAATAAATAAGCATGTGAATGTTGAGTAGTACACGATCTTTTAATACAAATAATAATTGGGAGCAGATTAATAAGACGGAATTCTAACTAAACGAATCAACTGAAACCCTGCTTAATTTCGGTGTTAAAATTAAACTAGCGTCTTGGTCAAAATTCCACGCGATTTGTTATGTTCCATGAAACATTGTCAGCCTATAAATTCACGGAATTTACAAGGATAATAATAATGATAATAATATAATCACTTTATCCCATGCATTCTACTTATGTCCATACAGATGATAACACTCATTAAACAGAGATAGACTTCAATATCAAATAAATATTCTCGTTTACCAAGTGGTGCTATGACACCAAAGTTAAAAATAAACAGTCATTTAGGCAATCGATTTTTACTAATATGGTAATGGGAATCATTCTTCAGATTTTTCTCACCATCAATCAAATTAGTCATATTTCGAAAAGCTGCTGATGGATTCCGTATGTGTATAATTACTGGCATACAAGCTAATTATGCCATAATATAAGTATGTAAGACTCAATTTATGTTTCACTTGTTAACAAAATTGACGCAAACGAATTGGTTACTACTACAAATACATTCCGGAAAGAATTATATTACAGACAAGCTGTTAGCCCACTAAGGAGTATAGGAAAATCTTGGTTGCTCTCAAAATCGTTGCTCATAATACTAATATAATTTTACTGTGTGACATTTAGTAGAAAGAAGCCGATTGGTGTTTCATAGAACATCTGTTTAGTAAACACTAAATTTTGCAAGATTTTCGTTATTAGAGGACAGACAGTAGAGCAGTTTTTAAGCTGAATACATGAACAACTTCATGAAGTTAATGATCCCAATCCATTAATAAGATGAGATTTGCTGCGTGTGATAAATGCTAAGAAAATCACCAGTAGCAATGTGTCAATGTGACGTGTTTAGTAGGCATTGCTGAGAACAGCGATTCGAAGAGCAAACTGAGTGACCCACCTATTTATGCGCTTGTATTAAAATCATTTTGGGTTAATTGATTTCATGGAAAGGATGCTGAGTAGAGCACCTAGACAGTAAAATTTGGCAGAGTATGATGAGATGGTATGGTTGGTAACCATTTTAAAGCTGACGTTAAACAGTTTCAGCAGGTAACTGAATTGCATGTGCACTCGATCACAAACGGTTAGTTTATCAGAAAAATGGAATCAATCAAACAACTACATGAGTTATGAATTTATTATAGAAACAAAATCCTTATTCACAGTTTGAACTATTGTTAGCCTTAGTTAGCTTTATTTCTATACAAAGGATACTGAGTTGTATGTCTGAAAGAATTTTTATTATACTTTTAAATATTATAAATCATTTTAAGACTTTAGAGCACTTTTGTGTTGATTTGTTACATACCGTATTATCATTGAACTACAAAGTTCAAATACTACTATATTCATGCACTTTACGCAGCATTCGTACAATATGAGCGTAAAAGGTCAAGGTAAAGCAAACATAATGACATGTCTTTGAGAAATTAAATAAGTTATGAGGCTATCAAACGCTTTTTTTTTAAGTAAAATATTATGCACGAATAATATGGTAGAGTTAGCAGTATTCTTTATGAATCACGGTTCTGTAGAGCTGATCTGATCTTAACCAATAAAAGTTAACGATACCGTGTCAAGTCAGTAGGAGATTCAACTAGTTAACAATTGCATAGAATAAACATACCGTTTATAACAGATATATTTATCACGGGTTTTGGAAACTTGATGGTACACTCACGAATAATTAATTCTATGGGAAGGAAACAAATATGTCAGCGTTAAAACCAGTACTTATTTTACCATGGTAATATGCAAAGTCTCCATGTTTTTAGAAAAGTGAATAGAAAACCGAAGCAATCCAATTATTACGCAGCATATGGATTATCAGAAATATTTTTTCCGTTCACGTGTGAATTTCCGACTCTGTCCCAAAATGTCAATCACTTCTTCGAAGCATATTTCTGTTTGGTGAATAAGTTAAACTTGACTAATCATGCATAGGAAAAGTCCTGGTAGAATTTTAATTTAGAGACTGTAACAGTGACGACTTTAAGTTCCAGGTTACGACGTAACTCGGACCTTTTTCGGCAGAAACACTGTGGGATTCTAAATAAAGCAAAAATAAGGTTGCCATTTATACCACCAAACTGACTAAAGGACAAGCTCTGTAGTCTAAAGGATCCTAATGACCTAATTAGATGAAAATTAATCTGCTATGACTGTGAGTCAACTACACAGGTCAGACCAGTAAGTCAGCGTCAGTTACGTTGTCGAACTTAAGGACTCAGCTGAGTGTAGAACGAATACCCCCGGAAAAATAAATGAATTAGAGAAAACTCAACAGTTGCAAAAACTGAACGTATACACAATCATACAATGTGGTGGAACAGAGCTACAGTATTGAAAATGGTGTAGATAGGTGAAGGATAGGTTGATCATCGAATCTACACCTAACACTTGCAATTGGAATGATGCAACGATAATACCAGAGGTGTGGAAAATATTACTGCCAATAAAATCAAGGGATAGATAACGGAATTACATCAACAAAATTTGAAGGTTATGTGGGTGCCTTGACATGATTATGGGCACCGAATCATGCTCAAAACGTCAACAGAAAATCACACTGAACTACCCTGGAAGACTATAGACTGCTGTGTAGTATTTTGACTGGCGATCCTCGTTTAACACAATTAAGCCACTGAGAAAGTAAATTATTTCACAGCATATGTGTACGGATTGATGGATAAATCTCAATACAAAGAAATTGTCATGGTCACAAAAGTGAGTATATCATCAGTAAAATATAAACGAAATAAGTTATCACAAACGTCCCGTTTTATTGACGGACTTCTACGTATTTTATCATTGAGACATCATAGCATACTATTAAGAACCACATCATTTTATAGTATGCTTCGACGATTTTAAAATACAAATGAATAAAATCATACATTTATACCTTAGCAGTAACCGAATAAAGCACTGGTTACGTGTTAAAAACCTTTAAAAATAGATGAAACAAGACAGGTGTATTTTCCATCAGTAGTAAGAGCATTAAAACAACAACGGGCAAGCCACAAGCTAATAATAATAATAATAATTTACTTTATACACTGCTTCACGGTGAGTGACTGTAGTACTGATATTAGAACAAGAGTTACAAGAGAACAATATTGTTTTCAATTAGATCTTCTACAGACTTTACTCTAATTTACATAAGTTTATGTATAAATACATATACCACATAGTTGTTATTAATATCATTATTGGATCCACAAACTCACTGTCATTGATTAAAATTTTTATATATAAACCTATGTAGATTAGAGTAAAGTCTCTAGAAGATCTAATTGAAAAAAATATTGTTCTCTTATATCTCTTGTACTACATATAGCAAACATGGATATTTTTCAACAGCGAGGAGATAATCTACCACACAAATCAATCATGAGGCGTAGTTGCTGCAGCAACGCATTAGTAGTTATGTGAAATGAATGACTTACAGCATAAGGAAAACCAAACATTTTCGAAGAATTCGAAGTTGCGTTCAAGGTCAGTTTTCAAAAGCAACACTTGACCTTAACTATCCAATTCAGTATCCAATATCATCTTCTCTGCTAATCTAGACAAATTTGATTTCTTTTAACCTTAGAAAGAGCTCAGGAGTGAGTGCTCCCAACTGTCAATGTATAAAGTGCATGACCGCATGTACTATCGCTACATACCCCGTGTAATTCACGCTTGTGTCCATTTTTTCGTTTAGAACTAGACCTAAGTCACGCTCTGACGTTGTGCTGGGCAAGCCTACGTTGCACAAGGTGTAACTTGCATGCTGCAGTCTACAGGTGCATGATTTCCCCACTTAGATCTTTCTCAGGTTGAAAGTCATACCACTGACTACCGCCCAGTCTTCCTGAAGCATTAGGCCTGGCTGTAATATATCTGAGTCTTCCGAACACTTTACTGCTCTCCAAATTTTACGCCATAAGCGTAGAGTCAGGCAGCTCAGACAGGATGAACTGAAAATCTTGTGATTTTCAGTGATCATAATGTCTCTTTATCTAATCTTTGATTGGACACTATTAACTGATGTGATGTGTCTAGTCGTTTCTTTGGTGCAGAGTGAATCCTTTGATATCTGGGTTTTAGGCGAATAAATAAGTGCTCAACGCGAATTTTGATGCTTCCTTCTATTTAAGTTTTGTTGCTCCGATATCATGTTTACTGCGAGAAGACAGAAGATTTGAATCCTATGCTAATCCTTTTCTAATGACTTTTTGCGCTTGTCCAAAGCCTCCTTCAAAAGAGCCAGTCGAAGGCGTTGGTACCACGTCTTCTGGGAGCCGGTTCAGAGTTTTGATGTCATCACGTGAGAATCCATACCCCACATCGATAAAGTTTCTCCTTGGCTTCTAAGACCTCGTTTCATGTACTGTGAGGTATACACACTTAGTAGGAAATAAAAGAGAAAACAAATAGGGAAGGTAGTCATTGCATAAATTTTAAATATCGTGGTAAGATCTCACTTCTGCGCAGGGTTTGACTACGATAAGAGTTACAAACTGTCTAGAATTTCGACGCATGATAGGGTGGTCATGCAAAGAACCATACGTTCAACTTCCCTAGAACCCGTTCCGAAATGTCAGTCCTCCTCAAAACAACAGCTGGTTGTCTTCATCTTTTGAGTCTTGATTTCACCATCTGATGTGAAAAGCTGCCACCTGACGACAGTGAGCTGTAGTTTTTAGGCTGCCACTAATTTTGAATTCATTTGCGTATAAGGCGAAAGGAGAATCAGTGAGCACAGATAATTTGCTAATACACAAAATGAATAGAAGGGGACCACTTACTGTGCCTTATGGCACTCCGTTGAGTACCATTGTCTTGGGTGAGAATTTTGAGCTGATCCTGACACCACGTCTCCTGCTTATGAGGGATTCTTTATTACTGTTTAGAAAAACGCATTTGATCCCATAGTTTCTGGGCTACATTTTGAAGGCTTTGCCAAAGTATGTGTAGACAATGTCAATGGGTCTTCTGTTGTGCCTTTACCTGGTACTCCTGCTCTAATGGAGTTTGTCAGGCATGACAGGTTTCCTCGAAAGCTACGGCGTGCTCTGGAGAACGAGTTGTTTTACAGTTATGCCGATATAGTTTTCTTGATGATTCTTTCCAGCATATACCCAGAGTACTGGTGGCACTGATACGTCTGTAGCTTGAAGGATATTGCATTAGTCCTCCTTTGCGGATGGAGGTTACTGTGGCGTCTTTCTAGTAACAGTGCATCTAGGAGAGATAGGCTGAATATAATAGTCAGTGGGGTGGTTGTATCAGGTGACGTCTGTTTGAGAAGGCTCGAATAAAGGCCATTAGGTCCTGCTTACTTCCCTGTGACTAGTTTCCTTAGAGGATAGAATGCAACTTTCTGCCGATATCGATGGAACCTATCCTATAACCCTCTGACGAGGGCAGAGCTGACGCTATCGGGGTAAGACTCATGTGTGAAGACTTTGAAGAAGTGGCCTGCCTCCACTTCCGCTTTTTCAACCTACTCTTCGGTTTTGTCATCGTCAGTAGTCAGGATTGAGAATTCTCTAGAGAAATGAAGAAGTTCCAGTGTTCACGCTTACGCCATGGTAATCTCCAAACCTCTATTACTGTCCATGGGGGACAATGTTTTCGCCCACTTAGGACGGACCAAGATTTGAGATCTTGGGTCACCTGAGGGTAAATTTGCTTGAATTGCCTACATATGGCTTACACGTAAGACTTTGAATTTATGTGTCATTCCTGTGATCATGACGCTGGGTCGATGGCGTTAATGTCTTCTTTCCAGATGTTTGGCGAGGCTGAATTACTGGGTCATGATGCTGCGGCTGCGAAAATGGATGTGAGCATGAAGTCAGCACTTTTGGGGGCTTCACTGCTTCTGTCCTCTCTGTGTTCACGGGATGTACAACTTCGTCCACCTACTTGCGTCTTTCTCCCTTCTACCTTGAAGTTTACGGACAGGAGACTTAATATTTCTGAGAAAACCGTTAAAATTTCATTGTTCACCCGTCAGTCCAACGTAGACCCATCTTCTCACTCTTTAATGACTGTAACACCATCCACTCCAATACAGTTTGCAAGGTCCTAGATGATTGAAGGCAGTCATTTCTTACTCCTGTATGCATTTCAGATGCCTCGGTAAGTACTCAGTTGTGAAACATTTGACGTTTGTTATCAGCATACAGCTGATGAATGACACTGTTGAATATTTTAGCCATTATAATGTTGGGGCGGTTCCCAAACAACTATACTGTCAAAGTTGTCAAAAGGTGATGGAAGCTTAGGGTAATACGTCCACAAAAAACACTTATCGCACGGTCAGCTGACAAGTTGAATGTCTACTAAACAAAAAGAAATTTTAATGAACCCCTATAACTCAAGCATCTGGTGCATGTGCAGCCCTTACGCTCCAGAAGAATAATTAGACCTTCAAAGGGAAATCTTTCCAAAAATTTTTACCCATCAGTATTCACTGACAATAGAATCAGACCGGAAATTCAGAAACACGAAACATTACCTTTGCCAGAATATTAAGTTCACGCAAGCCTGCATTTCAAATGTGACTCAACGGGAAATATCCTCGATTAATGAAATTTATCATCCTTGAGAAGAAGATACTTTGGAGCAAGGTTGCAAATCCTGTCCTTCAGGTGTCTATTGATCCGTAGAAGTGTTATTGACAAGTTCTCGCTCCTAACCACTTCTATGTGGATATGTCAGTTCAACTCTTCCTATGGAGCCAGGTATACTGGTCGTTCACTCATTTCCTGTCTAAATGTTTTCAGGAACATTTTACTATATGCATGCAGAAAAGTAGCGTGAAAATTGACTGAAATTAAACGTCACGTACAAGGTCATTGGTAGAGTGAGATGCTCCGTTAATCCTGCAGTTATTCATAACTTATCTTGATGCACATTGTTCACAAAAATTGCGTTTCACTTCACTATTGTTTTCAATTCTGTTAAAATTAGTTATTTCGTTTGTTTCGAAAGTTTTTTCCACCAGGTCAGTGAATTCATTTCATTTTAATTGTTTCATACGTTGCATTCATGCATGGCTTCAGTATTTTAGTTGTTTTTCAGATATTAATGAATTAGTACTGTGTAGAAATTTTGGAGATTATGCACGTGAACATGTTTGGGAGGTGTAAGCCATTGTTTCCAGTTCATTCGTTGGCTGCCGTTATTGTTGCTGACTCAGTTGCTTACATAACATGAAGAAACCTGGAAAAATGTCTTTCACGTTCATGTTGACAGCATGCAACTATCTACGAGTGAATCTGGTAAGGAGAATACGATCAGGGTTGATATTAGCAAGTTTTTCGAAAGGAAAATTAAACCTTGAAAATTTCCCAGCTAGCATTATTTTCGGGCGCACTGCAGGCTTTTTGGAGCAAAAAACTTCGGGCGCGTCTACTTAGGTAGAACAGTGCCCCTAAGTCTGCCCCAAAAAGTCTGAAATGCGCCCAAAATCGTTGCTAGCTGGGTTAGAACCTGGTTTGAGGAAAGCTTTAGAGCTTTTCGAGAAGATGAATTACCATCAGTGTGTCTGTAATCAGTTAAAAAGTCGTACATATATTGTGAGAGAATCTAAGTCAAACAAGTTTGAGGCACATTATAAGTATGAATCTGTTGTGATTGTGTGTATTTTTGGGAACTAAAAGAAGCTGGAATCCCTAAAGGGTAAGTGTTATGTATGATTATTAATGGTTAATGTACTAGATGCAAATGCATGAGCCAGGACTGCCTTCAGTAGAGCCAGTGTCAACAGCCACTCGATATGTTGCAAAACGATTCACAAAATTAATAAAATACGATGATCTGGTGAGTGTACGAACGATCTTAGTTAAAGGTAAGACTTTACTTAGCAAGAATAACGTTTTGGGTTGTGGTCTATGATCGCTGGTTTTCTCGATGTTGTGATTTCTCCGTCACTATAAACAGGGATTTCCATGATTTTTTAAAGAAAACTTTGAATAAATTTTCCTTGAACCAGTGGTCTCCTTTTTCTTGGGGAAACTTCTGTTGACACAATAAGACGATTAGGTAGCAAAGTAGGGTGTTCTGTGACTGAAAATCGTAGTCATTGTGTTTCGGACTAATTTTGCGCATCTGACTGTTGTAACTGTAAATAGTGAGTCATTTGAGGTGATAGGATGAATACCTCTAAACGCTTTTGAGGAGACTAGGGTATGTTTAATTTATTCGAGTAAGAGACGATGTTTTACCAAGAAAGTTCTCAGAATTTCCACTTTCACTTTGTTATTTAAAGATAACGTTAAGTCGCTTACTAAGGCAGTAGCTATAGGAGATTACCTTCAGCGGAAACTACATTAAGGTAACTTTACGTAATGCGTCATGGAAGTAAGCAGCGTAGGTTCATTGTGTCTAAATATATTAAACGTATAACTGGTCAAATCAGTGTTCTTACATACGAGTTAGTTTTATAAATAATGAATGTACCGTACAAGCGTTCACCTAGAGTTGTATACCAAGATCATAAATATTATGCCTTCATGTGGTATACATTAAGGGCTAATACGCTCTTTGATGAATTAGTCTGAGATTCGTGAAGTCAGACTTGATTTCTATATCACTCATCAATTTCGCAACGGTCATAGGAATTAACAGCTTCGCCTGACTTTCTCTTACATCGGAAACTAAAATTAACAGTCTGACATTTCGAAGGATTTAGTTTAAGAGCATTTTCCGACTCCTGGTAGAGAGCTGTTCATCTTTGTACAGTGTAGCTGGAATAGTTAGTCTGCGCACTTGACATATTTAATTTCGTATGCATATATACATTAAGTTCGTCAAACAAAAATACAATTGGTAGTGGACGACTATAATGGTGAAAATGTGGTGATGCAAGACTGCAGCTGCATCTAAATTACTTCTGCTGTGTTTACAGGCGAATTATTTGGTATCGTTGAAGGCTTTAAGTGAAGATTGAAGATTAAGTAAGAGTAACTTTTCCATAGCTTTTAGAAAAGGGGAGGTAATAGCAATAGGTCTAAATTTAAAACATGCTCCATTAGACGACTTAGGTATAGGTACAATTTTAATGTCCTTCCAAACGACTGGCAAAAAATTTCTGGAAAAAGATCCATTAAATATGTGAAAGGATAAATTTTATTTATTTTTATATTTATTTTGATTTACGGCTTGATTCCACACCGTATTTTTAGTACAAGTATGGAATTTTCAGCATGGATATCGGTAGCCCAAATTCAGGCCGACCATAGATATCGGGTGTGCGCCGGCATGGGATCGAACCCCGGACCATGTGCATGGTCGGCGAGAGTACTAACCACTGTGCCACCGACGCACAGGATATCTGCACATTTTTTAAGAATAAGGCTAGGCAAACAATCTGGAACTAAGCTACAAGAAGGGTTCAACGACTGGAGATATTTTAGAACGTCATTTGTATTGAAACCAGGGAAGCAACTCTTATTAACACTTGTGACACCAGAAACCTTAACATTTGTGGGAGGATGTATGAATGCCTTGTTTACCGTACACACATCAAATGAGTAGGAAATACTGTTGTAATACTGGAGTTAATTAGGAGCATAAAGGCCTAGGTTATTTAATGTCCATGAAGTAGATATGTAAATTCTGCAGTTGTTCATCATAGAAATGATGGATATTAGATAACATCACATGACTCAACGGCATATTAGAAATAGATGAAAATTGTTTCTTTGCTCACTGTCAATTGAACAGTCTATTTGATGATGTCACTGCATATTAACAGATTAGTGAAGTAGCTACCAAGCCTAAGTTATTACATTTACTTGTACTTCATACTTGGCGTTTAACAGTATACAGACTTGCAACTGGCTAGATAAGGCCATTTTAGCGTATCGAACTGTACAGAATTATTATTCAACTTGCTAAATCCTACTTAGTTTTTACAATGTGCTACTGTATAGAAACAGACACGAAATCTTAGGGAGGGCTGAAGTAACAGTCTCATAATACTACAGTAAATCTCCATCCCTCTAACTAAGCTTAAAATGCATTGATCCAAATTCACTTAATAAAAAAGCACATAGTATAGCGACGCACTGAAAAAGTCCAAACGAAGTAGAATTGAAGAGTATATTTAAAACATTTCATTAATTTACAAAAGAAAATCCCGATGAATGGTATTAACGTTAGTTTAACGGAATGGTATTTCCGCTGAATCATACTCCACAACCTCCGTATACCTGAAAAAAATAAAGCACATGTAAGGACTAGCACAACATGAAGTTATGAAAGACAATTCTACATATTAGCACACACTATGAATACACTGATTCTGTTAATACTAAGTAATATCTCATGCAAATAAATGTATTTGTAGTTTACAGCTGGTTTTTATATTGACGCTATAAGCATCAGTATTTAAGGATTAAAAATATCAAGACAATCTTTGAAACTTCCATACTCTTGAGGCGCCATACTCATCAACCTTACCTGCAGATCAACTTCACACTAGATACGTTTACATTAAATGAAGTATTGCTATTGTGTAACTTAGAAATTGATCCACAATCTCAGTAATGTCTAATGAGCATAGTTTTATGAATCCTACAAAAATTACATTCTCACATTAAGGAATCTGCAGCCATCAAATATAAGCTGAATATGCTTCAACTCTACATAGCTATGCAGTGTTAGCAGCGTAGAGAAAGACTTGAAATATTGTAAGATACGCAGACCTGTTGTGTTGATGAGGATAACAATGACATATAATGCAACCTAAACTTTCAGTCGTGATGCGGCATCCGTACTGCTTCATGTTAATGGAAAATTCAGGAAAAATTCATTACCAGTATTGGTGATCAAAAACATTGCAGCATTAAGTTTACAGGGCTATTGAGAATGGCATAACAGACAGTAGATTGATAGTCATAGAGCTGACTAGATTCAGTTCTCATAATCGACACAATCCATGTGTATAACAATACTATACACTGAATTAATGCACTAAGTGACACAGTAGGGAAATTTAAACGAGTAATTGCGCTGCACTCGCAATAATCATGACAACCACCTACGTTTGCTAGCCAAGCAGTCAGCTAGGCAGACAATGGCACAATATTAATAAAGTTGAGATATTTATATACATTGAGTCCACATAACTCATATTACGCTACACCAAACAGTGCAAATATACATGAAATACACTTAGAAATAACCTCTCAAAAAAAACATAACAACAGCACTCATGTTTGAGAATAACTATATTTTCATAGAAAACGTCATAGTTTTCTATGGTAAGACCAATATGGTTAGCATCATACATTGCAAATGTGCACTATCATATCAAGTACTGTATAGCTTATTCTTGTATTTTTCTTGTAAATATACTTCCAATAATGTAATGTATTATTATACCACTTTGTAGCTGTGCAGGATTTTCTCCTCTTCCTGAAATAGCGTTCAAGCACGTGGTTGTCGCTCAACTTCGATGGAAACCTCCGCGGAAGATTTACAAATTAAGAATTATAAGAATCTGTTCCGATTGCTTGTACTATATAATTCAACGATTTGAACTTTGAAAAAAAATTGATAACCTTACTATCCCTTGTAAACGTTGTACTTACCTCAATATTGGTTGGCTATCGTATGCCTACAACTGCGGGTTGAAAACGAAATGAAGTCGATTTTGAATGGTGTATGCGATTTTAAGGGGATAGGCCATTTGGATGAAGTCCTTGTGTCGCTGCATGGTTGTCCAGCCTTCGCTTAAAGGCGTCCACAGATGGTGCCATAGCTACATCTGCCGGTAAGGAATTCCAAGGACGGCAAACCCACAGGGAAAAGAAGTGGGAGAGCACCCAGGACCTTGCCCTCTGATGAGCTATCCTTCTAGGATTTCCACGAGGAAGCCTATGCCTACTCAATGGCAGAACACCTTTGTTTGGGTGATTCTGATCATTTGTTATTTTGTAGGCAGTAATTAAATCCCCCCTAAGACGATGGTAACTAAGTGTGAATAGGCCTAATTTCTTCAGCCTTTCGTCATATGGTTTATTTCGGAGACAAACCACTCCTTTTGTTGCCCGTCGTTGGACTCTCTCCAAGAGGTTGGCGTCTCTTTTAAGCAGTGGGGGTGCAATGATATTATGCACTTCAAGATGCGGTCTGACGTATGTTTTATACAACCTTAGAAAGAGCTCAGGAGTGAGTGCACCTAATTGTTTATGTGTAAAGTGTATGACCGCATACGCCCTCGCTACATCCCCCGTGTAATTTACGCTTGTGTCCATTTTTTCGTTTAGAACTAGACCTTAGTCATGTTCCGACGTTGAGCAGGACAAGCTTTCATTGCACAGGGTGTAACTTGCATTCTGTAGTCTACAGGTGCGTAACTTCACTACTTTGTAGTTGCAGTTAGATTAATACAGCCACTAACCATTAAAGTAAGTTGGGTGACCTATAAAAACTTTCTGTTTGTACTAATTTAGTAAAATAAACCGTGAATAGCTGCAGATCTATTTTCACTGACCTTGTTTGTTTACTTAGCTTCTCTGAACTTTGCAAAGAGAACAATCAAGCGCGTTAGTTAATATTTTTTATTGTTTACCGAATCAACTATTTGTAATATGCCTGGATCTCGTAAATTTTTTGTTGGTGGGAATTGGAAGATGAATGGTAGCCATTCAGATAATGACAAATTGATTCAAATTCTCTCTGAAGCTCAGTTTGGCGAAAATATAGGTATGTTCTGTCGTCACGTCCGCAAAATGTCTCCATATAGAAGTCTTGGTGGCTCCACCATCTATCTATCTGCGTGAAGTCCGGAATCGTTTAAAGAAAAATATTCATGTTGCTGCCCAAAACTGCTACAAAGTCCCGAAGGGTGCTTTTACTGGTGAAATTAGGTAAGTGCACTTATCGTGGTTCTTCTGTTGTGAGTGTAGTTTAATGTAACTGCCTAAATAGCCTACTGTTGCATTATGGTTAACTAAACGTAAATAAAATCAAATGTTTCATTTTTATTTATTATATATATAACATATATGTTGAAAAATATGTTATCATGAGGTTAAAAATATTTCAGTAGCTCAGTGTTTCTTATTTACATTCTTTATTCTCGATAAAGTATTAAATAAATATAAACTTATAAATTTTTTTTTGTATTCAAGTTTTTCGAATTCTCAATGAAAACGCTTACCTAAGGATTCTTATTTCAATCCTGTCCGATATTGCTTCCAATCATGCACATTAGTATCTAGAAAATTTTTACTTCATTGCTGAAAACTTTTGTGAATCCGTTATGCATTCTTATTCTGTGCGTGACAACTGTGGACGTTAACTGGGGTTTTTTGAAAGTTACACAGATTAGCATAAAGTTCAGGATAATATAATAATTTTGGTGGTATATTTATAGCATATTCAGTTAAAGTCTGTTGTCTGTGAAAAGTAGATGACCCTTGAAGTTTCTTCAGAGAATACGACATCAGCATTTCTTGTACATTTATGCATATATATATATAAATATATATAACTTTATACTAATCTGTGAATAGCTGGAATCACGTATTAACTTAAGACAACCTACTACAAATACTGCACATATGAGGTCTAATTACTGCTTTACACTTAGTCGGATACAGTCTAGATATTTTTTCATGATAGTCAGTTGAAGTAAAAGTATATTATAGATAGAACAAAACTTCCGTTTACTTTTTCCTGTTCATGTCATGGTAACTACAAATTACATATATTAATTTATGACACGTAAGTTTAAGGATTAAGGTAAATAAAACATATGTTATACGTGTACGAGTAACAAAGAAATCACACTGACTAGTCAGTAAGAAGTAGCATTAAGTACATCTTCTCATAGGCGGTATAAATGATTACATGCTTTTTAAGCTGGGGTCTTCTAAACGTTTTGTAGGAGTGGTAGACAACTGAAAACGGTATCCTAATATCATAATACCAGCTGAATTTTTGGTTTCGTGAGACTTTTTAGCTTACTATTACCATTTTCGCTGCGAATGCCATGTGTCTTTTAGTTTCATGTCTTTATATAGATACTACGTTATTTGATTCTGTCTTCTTTCAATAATTCCTGTTTTTACGCTTGAACGAGATGTTTTTCAAGTATGCTACGTTTTTTTACGAGTATTCTTACTTTTGTCTCCTTGTAAATGGAGGAAGCTAATATAACTAGGCTCTTATTTTTCATTTAAGTATTGAGAAACTAGAAACCAGAGGTAAAGGTTAGATTTTCTACAATTAAGAAAAGATATGCTGCTGAGAATATGGCTATCACTTCTTCTGAACGCATTTTCAGGTTGTCAGGTTTTGAATAATTATTGATGATAAGGGAAAATTGGTGTAAGTATGATATGAATTTAATTTACCTTTACTTTTTTAAAACACTTCAGCCCCGCAATGATAAAAGATGTTGGCTGTGAATGGGTAATACTTGGTCATTCTGAAAGAAGAAATATTTTTGGCGAATCTGATGAGGTATATTATATGATGTCTTTCTTCTTTACATTAAAATAGTTTCTAAATTATTGCTTTAAAAATTTGCAGAAAAATTCTTTAAATATTCAATAACATGTATAAATCCATGTTCCTTATCCCGTATGATAGCATTTCCAATTATTTTTTACAAAAGCATACACGCTAGCTTTCATTCAGACAGTCTGACGAATTTTCTTTCGGTGTTAAGTGGTTCGTTATCAGTTCTTGTTAAGAAGTAGTCAAAAACATTCTACAGATACTGAAACAGTGCGGCCTCTCACAAGGTTCTTTTTAGAAAACTAATTACATGAAAAAAGCGAGGCACTTGAACTCTTCGAGATAAGGTACATAAAAATGGCAGTTAGCATAAAAGTGATTTCGATAGATTCTATCTTAAATGAGGATGTCCTCTATCCGAAAGTTTTTTCTCAAAAGTTTTACTTCATATTATCAGTGACATTATGGAGTTTTCCGCAAAGTTTTATGAAAAAGCCTAGCATATTTGTAGTTTTTCTCCATGGAGTTACCACTGTAACTCGTTATATGCTGTAGGATTCATTGATAACGTTCGGGCATCAGATCTGGGTGGTTGCTAGTCGGAGTTCTGACCCTGTGACCAAAAGATTACTAATTGGGACCCTTATTCAGCCAAATTTTTCATTCTATCTTTGACTGTTATTCACTAAATAAATACTTTATTGTTCGCAAATGTTTGGATGTTTGGATGAAGCGTAATAATAGGATAAATGATAGAGCCTGAAGAAACAGCTTTTTTTATTATAAACTAATTAGTGTTCAATAAAAAGTTAATATTCAATGTTCTTCTCTGGTAAATCATTTTCATTACGAAGAACCAAGCAGCGGAAGGAGATTTGTTCATTTATATTAATCAAATATAAAGAAAGCTAAATTTTTAGCATTTTATGTGTTTACTATGCTAGTGTGTATTTACTGCATATTTTTTCAACAGCTCATTGCCGAAAAAGTTCAACACGCCATTGCTGAAGGCTTAAGCGTCATTGCATGCATTGGTGAAACATTACCAGAACGTGAAGCTAATAAAACAGAGGAAGTATGTCTAAGACAGTTAAAAGCAATCGCAAGTGAGTTTATTTTGATTGCTGTGATTACTTAAATGTCAAGGGAAGGCTGTTATGATTACATAGAAACGATTTAAAGGAACCCCTAAAGAAGTATCCTAAATTAAGATGCAATAACTGCATGCGTATAGCCATTGAGTTCTTCTACCAAAATAGTTCAAAAACTACACGACAAAAGACTTGTAAGACAAATAAGATAAAACATTAAGTACTTAGAAAAATACGCTACAACAGTGGGGTGTTTTGATGCAGAGACTTAAAGAGTCAAGTCTTAGAGAATTAAACGGTAACCATCGCAATTGGTTAGGAACAAAACAGCATTACTCTTGAAATATTTCTCTCGACTGTCTTTAAGAAATATGGGGATATTACGCCCAATAATGATGTGGTCAGTGAAAATTTGTGGACCATACACACGCACACAAAATTCCCGGTTGTTCATATCTTTCAGTAACGTAATTAAAGGCAGAGCATTTTATAAGAAAGTCAGAGATCATCGGCCAGTAGAGTCTGAGTTACTTGCTGAATAATCATTTAATTTCCCCCTTACTTATGTTTAGCTTATTAAAATATCATAAACCATATCGAAATTGCATTTCATCAGTCTTCTGTTGTCAATCATATCCTTCTTCATAAACCCATAAATTTCTTTTCAAAAGCGACCAATATCATTTCAAATTTCTAATACACATTTTTATTACTATTCTAGTATCACACAGTTTTCTGTCAACTATTTTTTCTAAATACGTGTCTATCAATTTAATTTTGGTTGGCGGAGATTAGCAGCGGGACCAAGGATGTGCGTTTCATCCCGATTGGGACTCGTCAGCTTGATGCACGAGGTGTTCCCATCGGAAATCAAACGGTGCAACCGTCGTTTCAAACACCAAAGCGTCATCCACTAGGCCACTAGAGTTCGAGTTTCAGTGAGAACACCATCACTCACTGAGAAAAACTCCAATGATCAGTCCCAAATAGGATGAAGCGCGCATCCTAGATTTCACCGCTAGTCACTAACAATCAAAATAACTTCAAGTTTGTCTCCAGATATTGTCAAAGTGTCCGCACTAGCAGCTTATATGTCAACAGAGGCTGACCATTTTGATTCAGCAACATGATCAATCAATGGGACATTCAAAATTAACCTAAAAGCATTTATGTATATTAAAAATATCCTTCTCCAGTGACTCTTCTCCACTTTATGGTTTTAAAGTAATAAGACTAAAAATCGATTCACTTTTGCTTCAAACTTCACCTCATTCTAACCAGTTAATTCTGTGACCTTAATCATAGCTATTATTCTTATATAAAAGTAAAATTAAAAGGTTATTCTGTATATTTTCCAATGAAACTATTCTAAGAGTATAAAGGAATATTCATGTAAAAAACTGGAACGTATTCAAAGTTAAATAATATCGTATTGAAGTGAATAGTTTAGTGAACATAGGGAGCAATTTTGATCATTCTGAATGTATACATTTATACACTTCTATCCCTTCATAAACAATATAGTCAGGGTTTCTCCTGTTAAGCTGCATTTTACTAAAATTTAATTGATTATTTGAGAGCAAGCAGTGTTGAACAGTCATACGTCTTTGTAATCCGGGACACCACAACGATACCCACCTAGTTACTTTTGTAAGGGTAGAACATAGTAGTATTTGATAGCTGAGGTGTACGTTTATCAAATGATCTACAGCGTTGGCGAAAAACCTTATTCTGGAATTTCAGCGTGCACAAGTTGTTCTTATTTTGTTTCTGTTGTCTTACTTCCACGCTTTTTGCATTTTTCCGCAAAGATCTTTCATTTCTGCTCTTCTCAACTTAATCCGTTTCTGTACTACTGGGGATTCTTAAAGAAGAAATCATACACAAGATACTACTTAAGAACACTTGTCAGTAGTACAGGCTACACTCCTCCCTCCGTCAAAATCTCTCGAGTGTAGTCACGCCAACCCTGTTTGTGCTTACCACCCTTGATGTGTCTTAGTGCAGACTTCTTCATCCCACTGTATTCATCTCTGAATGTGTCTGACATTAACACATTTTGACAGTGTAAACAGGACCGCATCTCTCAATGACAGTGTATTGGTTCCTCTCACTATGGAGACAGTTTTTGTGACCCCGGCAGACTCCTAATGAGTGCACTTTTTCATTACACCTAATCTGATCTTTGACTTCAAACTTTATAGATCTTTTATTTTGTCTCTATTGGAAGTTCACTGAGTCAACCTTCTTTATGCTTCAAATTTCTGATTGCTTTTTCCCTTACAGTATCCCTTCTGTGCATACTCGACTGCTGGGAGTGAAGTTAGGTCTTATTTTGCACTGCAAGTCGTGGTTTCCTACCATACATCAGTTGAAAGGGTGACTTCCTTGTTGTGTATTCGATGGCCGAGTAGAGACGATGAATACTCTATCTTCCAGTTACCTCCATTTCAAGGCCAGGCACTCCTTAAGTGCGCAGTTATTTTTGCCTATCGAACTATTAGTTTCCGGATGATATCACAGTGTTCTAATTTTCCTAGTGCTTAGTTCGCTGCATGTGGAATCCAAATTCTTCACCTTCAAGAAAAGGGCTTCCTATTGTGATCACAGTTGGGCAAATATGAAATTCATTTACTGATTGATGATTTCAAATGGGAATGGAGACATGTTAGACAAACTTTAACATAAACTAGCAGTAAAATAAATTCCATTACGACTAAGCATATGGCATTACAAAACATTCATAAACTAATCGCATTTATCATTAAATAAAGAAGACAGTTCACTCAGAACTTCAACTTTATTGACAAGCGCAAATAAATAACTATCTTCGCTTATTTTGAATTACTGTTATATTTAATTTAATTTTTAGACAAAATAAAGTCGGCTGATGAATGGCAAAGAATAGTTGTTGCTTATGAACCTGTATGGGCTATTGGTACAGGTAAAGTTGCCACACCTACACAAGCACAAGAAGTTCACAATTTTCTAAGAAAATGGTTAAAATCTAATGCGCCAGCTGGCGTTGATGAAAAATTACGCATTATATACGGTGGTAAGTGAATCTTACTTTGGATTTAATGGCTAATTTTTATTTTATAAGTGACTAGATTACATAACTCAGATGAAAATGAAACTTTTTGGTAATTTAGTTAGGAGGAAACGCCACAGTGATAATGCAGTGAATATTTATTTGGGACCTTCTAACTATCAAGCTTTCTCAACTATAGTTATTATTCTAAGAGATTTGCTTTTATCACAGTAACGACTTTGAAGCCACTTTGCGTTACTCATGGGTATTTATATTAATATTGGATCCCTAGTGAAACATATGGCTTCAGTATCACATCTTCATTCCACTCTGTTTTCTAGTGTCATTTTAGCCGGCTACGTGAATACCGACAAACTTTCATTTCCTTTTGCTTACACTATCTTTTCTACGTCACCCGGGAACTCACGCCCAACTCATTGCTTCTCATTTGGGTTCCACTTGAAGGCGTGTCTGGCTTGTGATGTCACTTGAATGTCTTCTCAGCGTGTATGTTCGGTCCACTTCCATTTACTACCGGATTTTTGTTAGACACAGGATTCTTGGGTGGTTGACTTCCCACCAAAGTCTTTTGTTGTTTATTCCATATTAATTTCTTTATTAAATATATCACACAGTGAAACAGTTTTATTTACTGGATGACTATTTTTCGAACACAATTTATTGCTAATAATCATATCATCAACTATAACCAGACAACTTCAAAACTTTCGTTTTGTAGCTTTCTTTACCCTTTCCTATTGTGCATCGGTGGCACAGTGGTTAGGACTCTGGCCGACCATGCACATGGTCCGGGGTTCGATCCCCTGCCGACGCACACCCGATATCTATGGTCGGCCTGCGAAATTTGGGCTACCGATATCCATGCTGAAAATTCCATACTTGTACTGAAAATACGGTGTGGCAACAAGCTGTAATCAAAAATATAAAAATACAAAAAAATATATAAATATTTGTCATAGGGGTAGTAGAATTTTCCAGATGTCCGGGTGGACAGGTGCTGAATCATTCTTATTACATGTATTTGCAGTTGATTCGATAAACAAGGCTTCCGTTATCAATCTTTCCCTCCACATTGTTACTTTGGATTTTTAAACTGTCATCTTATTCCATCTTACTCCATTCCATTCTTATTGTATGGTTGTGCGTAATTGCATGTAGTGAGTAGTATAGCTGAACTATTCTCCAGATTTCTTATCTTATTAGGGTCTACTAATCTAGATTTCACCATTTCATCCATAAAACGACAATCCATTGTTTATCTGTCTAACGTATCAGTTTAGGAGAATGTTCTTCCTTGAAAATGAACACTACTCAGATAATGACTGATATTCTAACAACCTGTATAGTTACCTGATTTTAGCTTAAAGACTTAAAAATTATCGTGATGGATGGTGATTAAAAGTACTTGCCATAATGAAATATTTAATTTACATATAAATCCACAAATACATTTACAAATGCTGTATGTTTGCATAATCGTGAATAAACATTTTGTTTTGGCATGAGTTTTATAGGGATTTGATGGTAGCAATGCATCACAAACCGGCAAAGCTAGACTTCACGGGTCATTGAACTCTGACCCAAGTAGTTAAATGTTCTGGTAACCTGAAGACATTAGGTTTGATCCCTAGTGTGGTTGCGAGTGCTCCTCAATTAGGATCAAACCGTTGTCCAGTACCAACCTGGTTTTCAGTGATTCCCTGACTGTTGTTAGTTCGTAACGAAATGTATTGCCATCATTACATAGAATCCTCAGATCTTTGGACGAGCACAGTACTGTTGTTACTTATCATTATGGGGACAGATATCTTTTATAATAACAAATATTTTGTGACAAATCATTCTGAAAAGTGAGGAAAAACAAAGCCGTGCGTATTGAAGTACAAAAATTCTGATTGTTCTTTTGAAGGTGAACTAATATTGTAACGACAGAAGACAAGGGCCAGGCCATAGGTCGTTTATTGAGAAAATCAGCAGATATTTATAGATTTTTATGTACATTATTATTAGCATTATTGTTAGCAGAGAAGCAAAGTCTTCTGATTCGTTGTTTTCCTGCTGAAAGTTATTCTGTACTGCTTGTGATCGTTTCTTAGAAAGTTAAGCCATATATCTGCGAATCGTATTTGCACACATTAAGTCTGCTGTGATTGGTTAGTGAGTTCCTGAAGGTTAGGCTTTGTTATTGTTTTTCTCATGACCCCGATTTGGGACGGAAATATTGACCTAAATTGTTGTCTACAATATCGGCTTATAGACGACTCTCACCACAATACGATGGCACACTGGCTTAGACTCTCAATTTCACTCTAAACAATCCTGGGTTCGAGTCTCACCCTGGCTAATTCAACCTGGAAAAGGGATGCTGTAATCAGCTGACACACGTATACACAGTGCATAGGGTATATAACCTGGTAAATAGGGAATCTGTTCAACAATACTAGAGTCATAACTAATTAACTAACTCGTAACAAGACAAACTGAAGATACGTGGTTGCATGTCACTTTCATTTCGACAAGTTTTTCCTAAAATACTTAGTAGTTCTTGAGTTTTAAAAACAGTGTTTCCTAATGAATTAATACAGAAGTTGTCATCATTTAAATAATTCAGTTCAGCGTTTTATCTACAACAGGTGTGTGTATACACTGTAATCTAATGATGCTAACCACCATGCTAGTAAGACATCAGTAGACATCAAAAATTCATTTTGCAAAAAAAATGCATAGAGTTTTACAGAAACGTGAAATTCTTTCAAAGACAAAGTGTATTTTATTTCATATTGTTGACAAACAAAATTCACTCACTCACTCACTTATGAATGTAAACGCATTTTTTTGCTTGTTTTTTGTTTTTCTTTACCATTTCAGGCTCAGTGACGGCTGCTAATTGTAAAGAATTAGCTCAACAACCTGATGTCGATGGATTTTTAGTCGGTGGTGCTTCATTGAAACCAGAATTTATTGACATTTGTAAGGCTAGATAATACTAGTAATATTAATGAAAAGAATTAGAACATTGGATCACTTGTGGGTATTGCTGGCGTTGTTTTTGTCCTTATTGTAGTTGCTTAATTTTAATTTCTAATTTTTGTTTTCTAATGTCAGTTAATATCTTCTTTTTATTTTCACTTTTTTTCTCTTTATCTTTATTACATTTTTACTTATTAAAGATAATGTAATAATATAGTAATATTATTTGAATGAAGATCGATGTGAAATTCCAGTACTTACTTCCTTGCTTAACTTAACCTGTCAGTGAAAATAGATCCAGTTGAACTTGTTATTATTATTATTATATCTGACTTGTACTTAAGTGCTTTTCTTTTATAATTACAAACAGTTAATCATACTGTAATTGTTTTCCTCGTTCGCCTTCCACCTGGAAGTGGAAGTACGTTTTCGACTGTTGCTTCCATGGCTATTCACCCTGTGGAGTTGTTTTAGTATGAATGATTTACTATCGGCTACGGAGCACTACAGGATAAGTCGGAGTTTACAACTTTCGTGTCAATGTTTTCTGAAACCCCACTTCACCCAGAGTGGAGAAGCAGCGTAGCTGGCTTTCTGGGCATTTGAAGGAAATACCCAATTGCTGTTACAACCCTATTCACTAGCAGTAACACTGCACCAACAGACTCCCGAAAAGAGTGCCAACAACTTACCCTATGATAATGATTACTTTTTAGTGACCGCTTCCCAAACGAGATTTCTGGTATGGTAGGACCTATAGTTCTAGACAGTGAATCTCACTGTGGTATGCAAGTCTGATTATCGCGTCGTTCGGGCGTATTCATTAACTAGAAGACCGACCTGAAAGTTCTCAGGTCTTTCCCATTCCTTTGCTTTTGTGTGGAACATAGGGCTTAAAGCTTGAGCTTTGAAGTTTCAAGAGCGTTGGTTTTGTTTCTTTTACTGGATAGAATTACTCACCTCATGTCCAACCTTTCTTATTTTCCGTGTTCCTTACTGGCTAAACGAGGTTTAGGAATGCATCGACCGGGAATCAAACCCTCACTTCCTGCATGGTTGGCAAGCATTCTACCATCGGACCACCGACGCACGTGTTCATTCGATTCCTATGTCAAACATTTATTTGTAATGAAACAGTCATACAGTATTGTTTAAATTTATTTACATCCAATTGTTAAGTGGCAAATAGGAGGAAACGTGTGTAATGGATTCCATTGCTTGCCAGCATCAACCAATTGACGCTATGCAGCATGCTTATCAATTGAAATACAATAAATGCTTGTCTCATGTTTCAGTTTATTGAGTTAAATCATTTTTTTTCTGTAGGTAAAAATTATCACAATACTGTGTTTCATTACAATTAATAGATTATATTAGACAAACAGTGGATTAAATCCAATGAGAGCTTTATGAGACGAATACTAATCGTGCTTATCTTGTCTGGCAAGTAACTCACCCTAACTTATTGTAATAGAAATACATTTCTCTATCACTTTGTTTCATTCTATAATAGAATTTAAGTAAGATATCTTTGCATTGGTTAAACCGCCTACATATATAATGTTCTCCTAGCATCTCTTCACTGATTAGTTCAATCTAGGCTAGAATAATGTTTCTTTAAATTTTATCTTACCTAAGGATTATTTCTAATTTGACTGGACATAACATTGTAACTAATGTCGTGCATCTATTCCTTCGTTTGGGGCAGACTAAATTTAAACAACAACTTGGAATTCACCTAGTGTCCAATCAAAGTAGCCATTAATGTCCCACAATAGGTCAATAGCTAGCCCAATTAGCTCAGTGGCAATGTCTCTGACTGCAGCAGTGGCGAGTACCAACTTGCATGAAACCTAGGTAGACAGCTTCCCAAGGAATGACTCCAACCGTCTAACAAGGATTATTTCTCTACACTTGTAGTAAATAAAACCCCTTGTAAACAGATAAATGGATGTAAAACTAAGACTGTAATGTTTTTCATTTTATAACCAAAATGACACCTTAAGTTACCATAGGATGCTGTAGTATTTAAATCATAAAAAGTGATCAGTATAAATGCTTTTTTAGGTGAATAATTCCCACCAACTAAATATCATATGATGATTGGCTTAGTGGTCACTAAAAGCTGTCACATTGTGATCATTTTATTTCAATTTCCACTGAAATAAATTGCTTAATATGGTATAATTTAATAGTAATCAAACATAAATAGAAAATTAAAGCCTTTTTTCTTATCAAGTGATTGTCCATGTGACAAAAGTGAATAATTTGAGAGAATTTCGCGGTTTTCAGTCTACCTCTCTACTGTGTATAACAACTAGTGAAGAAACACCTGAAGCTTAAATATTCAATGAGTACTTTTAGTCAAGAGATTCATTTAAACAATGTAAATTGATACAAACAGTGAGACAGACACATAATCATTTGATGAGTGATGAATGAGTTTCCTACTGATAATGAAATGATCTGCAATATTATTAATATTGTTACATATTAGTCGTTTCTTGTGCTCTGAGTAAAACATTGGGAAGGCTTCATCACCACATCTTCATTCCACTCTGTTCTCTGTCGACTCAACGACTACCTGCAAGCTTTTTTTCCTCCTGATCACATGATATTCTCCATGTCAACCTCAGAAATTACACTATATTTATTATAATCATCTCGTACGTAATCCAATTCTGCATGACTTTCTCCATGACCTGTATAACTTTGTTCTGAAGAATTCAACTACAATCTTAAGTGCACTGAATGGAATGTTAGAAAAAATTCATCCAGACATCTTTAAAAAACAAAATAATTGGACAAAGAATATCCTCCTCGATAATTTCCTCTTCTGGCTCTACAATTATATATATGTATATATGTTTATGTACATAGAATATTCTAGAACAGTAGACAATAACAATATTAGTGTTTTTTAAATAATATCGATTTTTTAAGTAAGATCAGTGGAATTACAGTTCATTTAAGATGAATAAATTATAATAATAGTAAAAGATATTAGCAAACAGAAAATTAACCAAGATTAAGGAAATTTCCACGAAAAATTAAGGATCACTTGAACCTAGGTGGCCAAGGTAAGGACAATGTCTGAACTAGCTTCTTTTGGACACATAAATTAGGCTTCTTAATGTGGATTCCAACGTCCTCAGCAATATATAGTAAACGAACTCTTAAGGCGAAGTTAAGATTTGTTGGTATGCGGTAGATGACTTTAAAAGCCTGGTTGAAATCAATCTTGTGTTCTGTATCCACGAGATGAGACAGAATAGCGCTACGAATAGATTTTGTTTGTCCTTTACTTAATCACGCAGGGCGATGTTCGGAAATCCGATGAGAAACACGCTTAGTTGTATGGCTTATGTAACTGGTTCCACAGGAGCAGTTGAATTGGTAGATAAACATGGAAGAGGCGAAATTAGGCAGTTTATCTCTTACTCCCGAACGCAAAATACAGGTGGGTGCTTTTGAAGGCACAGCGTAATTAAGCAGCTCATTTTACCGTCTTCCTCAGGAGTTGAGTTAGTATCTCGCTGATGTTGTCCCTGCGGAACCGAATTTGTAGGGAAAAGGCCTTTTTAGGGACTGTTGGTACCTTGGGGTGTTTTGGTTTTAGATTCATATTCTTATCAATAAACTTTTCTGGATAGTCGTTTTCACTCAGCGACCGTTTGACATTATTAAGTTCTTCATCAAGACATTCATACGAGCAGATTGCTCTTGCTCTGTGAACCAAGCACTTTATCAGATTGCGTTTGTATTTCAAGGGAGCGAAGCTGAAAAAATGAATATACTGATCATTTGATGTAGGTTTTCTATATACACTTCTTCTTATTATGCCAACCTCTTTTCTGGTCATAAAGAGTGTAAATTTCGTCACCAATCAGTGTGACTCAAAGGATCATTGCGAACTAAGAAATACTAGGCAGATTTTCTTTTCCTAGATTGGGACTCCTAAGGACTCTGTATACAAGAACCTCTGAGGTATCTGAAGTAGTTTTATTAGTGGCTATTGGATGGGTTTCCTGATGTTCTGGTAGCAAGAATTAGCTGGTAAGGTTCATCATGTGAGGTTTGAAACGTATGCTTGTCGACGGCACTAGTTGATGGCAGTACTGCATTACGAATGGACACAAATTAAAATCCACATGTTACTGAATTCCAACCGACTGAGTGGACTATTAACCGGCGTTTGATACATTTATTTTAGTGAGACTATCTGAGAAAACCTCTACATGGTAAACTGATATTTTTGTAATGTGTGCTAGCTGAAGGTAAACTAAAAATCTGAGTGGGGCAGAATTCATACCGATGGCCTCCGAATTAACAGTCTGGTATTCTACCAGCTAAACTTCCAAACCCAAATGATAATTAGCTCATCAGTCTGATGCGATCACCATGGGTATTGTTTAACTGTGGCATGAATGAATAACACTTTACTATGCGTTTATCATGAGACTTGGTGTCCATACTGCGTAATGCTCTATCCAGCTGACTGAAAAGAGAAGGCAGGAGTTCAATCAGAGATAACAAACGAAGTGACACATTCCATTGTGGGTAAAATTTATATTGATAAAGTCTCACAGTGTTACACAGTAATATTTACTGATGACGTTTCTAGCACAATTTATTGCTCATAATATTACTGTATAACACTGTGAGACTTTATCAATATAAATTTTACCCACAATGGAATCATACTCTACCGCAGTGCACAAGTTCTATCGTTATATCAACGAAGTGAAACATTGTTTAAACGAATTTTGTTAAAATTCTACCTATTTCTGATGAGTCGTTTTAAAGCGTTAAATGAGCGTGAAGTGATTTCATTCATTTCATCAATAAATCTGTTAACATTAACACTTTCCAAAAGATTAGAGGAGGAGTTCATCAATAATAGTGATCGAAGGGAATGGGTGAAAGAATGGCCTTTAGGCGATCAATCACTTCAAGGCATTCTGATTTAGGTGGAAAAAACAGTATATTCATGAGTAAATGTCTAAAGGAGTGAAAAAAATAATAAACCGGATACTTTTCCTTAAAATCGTGTAAGGTTAACTTCCAGTTCTTCGTATGAGTATCGGCTGCTCAGAGTCCACAGCTGGAGTTAGGGTTAGTTAGGATTCGGGTTTAAATTTATGAGTTAGAGTATTGAGGTAGTTATTAGGACTAGATATAAAACCTTATTTAGATTAGATCTATTTCTTGAATTCTGAACAACATTCGTTTTTAATATTAACAAACTTGATTTCTCTTGTATAACTCGATCAATAACGAGGAAAGCCCTGCTTGGCTGCTTTAGGGTCTTTGAATCACTATTCTTGAACTTCTTCAGATTTGATCTATTCACAATCAAAACTGCAAAATTTATTGATA